GACTATTCTTTTTGATATTTATATTCTGTTTAAGGTTTAATGTGAATTTTTAGTTTTTTAAAATGTTAAAATGTACACAGTTATTTATAATCAATTAATGAAACACTAAAACTTTACAATAGTGTTGAATATCTGTAGCTCAGGTGTAGGATGAGGGTGAAGTTTCACTCTCCGAGCTTGTGTGTTGGTTTCCAAACGTTTCATTAAAATGTTACTAGGTGACATTTTCAGTGGAGTTCAGTGTCAGTGATCTTCTGTGTGGTCAGTGGGTCTTGTGATGGGTCAGTTGTGGATGTGACAAGTGAAGTGATGGGTCAGGTGTGGTTGTGTTAAGTGAGGGTCTTGTAATGGGTCTTGTGATGGGTCGGTTACATCAGGTAGAACTGGTGGGATAAAACTAACCCTACCATACAGAAAAGAGGTGTCGGAAATGACAGCCAGCATTCTCCAACCCCTAGAAATAGCAAAAACCCACAAACAGTGACACTCCACCAGGAATTATCCAGAACCAAAAACAAGATACCGAAGGATGAAAGAAACAGTGTAATCTACAAAATCAAGTGTAACACTTGCAACCAATTCTACGTGGGACAAACATCACATCAATTAAAAACCAGGATCCACGAACACTGGCTGGCAATCAAATGCCAAGATACCAAATCCTTAATCTCTACCCACCCCGACACCAAACAGCACCAGTTCTATTGAAGCAACACAAAAACCATTGGCCACTCTACCACCCGCCACGCTCATGAGTTCATTGAAGCCTGGCACTCCACAAGCAATTCCATCAACAGACGGGATTGACCTACAACCCCGAGAATCCAAATGAACTGCTTAGCCAACCAGAGGCAGCACCGACCCTCAAACAACCCACGCAAGCCCCCTCCCCTGGCAGCACTTCACCTCCTAATGACCCTGATCTGATGTAATCTCCCCATCACAAGACCCACCACAAGACCCTCACTTGACACATCCACAACTGACCCACCACAAGACCCTCACTTGACACATCCACAACTTACCCATCACAAGGCCCACTGACCACACCTGAAGCCCTTATAAGCAGAAGAACACTGACACCGACATCCCCTAAATTCTGCTGAAGATGTTATCTAGCCTGATAGCGAAATGTTCAGAAACCAGCCCACAAGCTCGGGGAACGAACCTCCACCTACACTAAAACTTTAATTTCAAGGATGTTTGCAAATTCCTTGTTTTTTTCACTTCCTTTCTACTGTTTTACTTAGCTTGTTATTCTTTTTCTTTGTCTGATTAAAATGTTCAATAATACATACAAGAATAAAAGGAATAATTTTACTGAAATAAAACAAGATTATCAGGTGATTTACTAGGAGGTTTTTGCTAAAAAGATCTTTTCTACCTCCAGAGAATCTACATTCAATTTGCCTTCCCACCACCCATCTCCCCCACCCCTACAGGAAAGGTGACTGAGCAGGCTATAATGGAGGAATGTGATGGACAATATAGATATTTAGACCCCTTTTAGCTGCCCAGTCAAAAACTTCTGCAAGTAGTCATCGACTTACAATCACCATTGAACCCAAAATTTCTATTGCTAAGCAAGACAGTTGTTAAATGAATTTTGCCCCATTTTACAACCGTTCTTGCTACATTTGTTAAGTGAATCGTTGCAGTTCTTAAGTTGGTAACACGGCTATTAAGTGAATCTGGCTTCCCATTGATTTGCTTGTCAGAAGGTTGCCAAAGGTGACCACATGACCCTGGGACACTGCAGCTGTCATGAATCAGTTGCAGAGCATTTGAATTTTGATCACATTAACCATGAGGATGCTGCTGTGGTTGTAATGTGAAAAACGGTCATAAATCACTTTTTTCAGTGCCGTTGTAATTTTGTAAGTCCAGGACTATCTGTACTAAGCACAGAAATAGCTAATATATGGCTCTTTAGATATTACTAAATAACAATTTCTAGAAGCTCTAACTAACAAAATAATGTGAAATTGATTATATTTCGATATATAGAGAGACAAAGGTCTCTACCCATTTCCAGGTATTAGCTGTAGCAAATACAAATCCAGATTTTTTCTGTTCTTATTATATATATTTTAGCCAAGTCTATTATTTCATTTTATTCCTTAATATTTCTATGCCACTTTCTAGGACGTCTCTTCTAGATCTTTTTGGATCAACAGATTTAGTTTATTATGGGAGATATCAGATAACCAAGTCCTGAAGTGATCCTGTAGGAATTTGAAGGTGATTTTCATCACTTTGATTTGTACTTGGAAGTTGATTGGCATCTAAGTAGTTTAAGAGTAGACGTGTTAGATGGGCAGCTCTTGAAGAGCTCATTATTACCTGGCAAACTAGTGGTTTAAGCTCCTAGAATCTAGACGGTCTTTAAGGGCAGAATCCTGAATACATTAAATAGTCCAATTGTGAAGTGATAAGGGTCTGCGTAACTGTGTGCCATGTTTCCTGAGCCAGAAACAGTTGCAATGGGTACACTAAATATCATCATATTTGCTGCTCAAGTAAGTGCCAAACATCCAGGAAAACCCTAAATCATGAATAGCCTCTGTCCAAGAGGCTTCAACCTTCTTCAGAAACAGAGAGATGTATCTTTAGAATCAGAGGATTTCCATATCCACAGCCAATTTTTCTTTCAGAATTAAGTCTTTTCTTCCTGATCTTATTTCTAACGTCCTCTAGGCATCAAAACAATGCCCTCAGCATATCACTTTTCTGACTGTGGGCAGCAATGCATAACTGGATAATACTGTATACTTATACTTCACCCTAGGCTGATATATCACTCCCCCTGTGGCTTCTAGGGGAGTCACTCTCCCTTTATCCTAGTTTTGTCAGAGATCATCAAACAGGGTAACAAAGTTATTTTCAATCCTATGCCAGGGCCTGAACCCAGATTGATATGCAATTACATAGTCTCTGTATGGTTTCTTTTTATTTTAACTCATTAAGATCATTTTTCTGAGATTTGTAGTTTTCTTCAGACATGACAGAAAAAGATTAAGAACCTTTGTTTTAGACCAGTGCTTCTCAACGTTTGTGTGACAGCAACCCCTGTCACACAAACGTGCCGCGCATGCGCGGCACCGCCCCCATGAGCGGCACCGCACGCATGCGCGGCGCCGCCCCATGAGCGGCGCCGCCCCCATGCGCGGCACGCATGCACGGCACCACCCCCCGAGGGGGAAAAATGGCGGATCGCCTTGTTTGGCGACCCTCGAGAAATGGTCGATCGACCCCAAATGGGGTCGCGACCCATAGGTTGAGAACCGCTGTTTTAGACTGATATTTGCCAATCAATGCCAATCAATCATAATCAGTGAAATGGATAGGAACAAATAAATTATTTTATTTTATTCTTCATCTATTCTCCCTGGAGCACTGAGTAAAACAGTTTCATATCAATTGTGATGAAATTATCAGGGAAAAAATGACATATGATAGGATTACAGAAAGGAAAATAAGTAATTTGGGAAAAAGCAGTCACTGGCAAGCTAGAATAAAATTGTTTGGAATGGTAGCAAAGTAAACAAGATATATGATATCCAGGCTCTTCCTTTCTGGCAAGGTAAAGATGGCCCAGAAATTTTAAATAATGGAAGCTTTTATGACCCTACAGGTCATATAAGCAACTGATGAAAGAGATTGATTACATTGAAAGTCTGGTACTTTGGAGAACATGGTTTCATTCAAATAGTTTGAAAACAAAAACAAAAAACAAATTTCCCAACAGCAGTAAAACATCCATCTTATCTAGACAGAAGTTAAGTTTATAGAGTTACATGCACTTTATTCCTGATGTAAATATGGATTTAGAGGTTCCCATAATAAATAGTGAGATTACATTGTTCCATCTATACCACCCCAATAAATCTGTGAGTGGGTTCACATAATATATTATCAGACTACAATGTGGAGGGCTAATTTAAGGCTCATTGTGGTAGCATAGGTAATTGATTTCATTCAGAAAAGCATTCAGTTTATGGACCGTGAGTTACCATGAGTTATGCAAAAATAGTCTCTGTATGTCTGTAGCTCACTACAGAGGCATCTTCAGGATAAGTTGAAACAATGAATTTCAAGCAACTTGAATAAACGAAACTGAACAGCAAAGTAGCAGGTTGTCAAATTCTCATATGTTCCAAAACTAAAGTGGCTGTTTTCAAACACAAAGGCAATTGTCTCACCTCAGAAGTTAATGCCAAACATTTATATGATAGCAACAATTTATTTATTTACAAATGTAATAAAACCACTAATGCATGCAGGGCTTTAGGTTGCTATTCAAATAAACCAACAGATCTGTAATGAGTACATCATCACTCCCACACATAATGCTTCTGTACATCCGGCATGCCACTGAATCTATCTTAACAAGTGACACCACGACTAGCCTACGAGGCGACGCCAGATTCCCCTTCCCTGTCTTCTGCATCGGGAGCAGCTTTAGCCGCGGCAGACATCTGCACCCGAAAAGAAAAAGACCTCCTCGTGTGTGGTCTCTTCGGGGGGGGGGGCTGCTGGATATAGGAAGAAATATCACCGGTTTTGGGACGTTCAAAAAACGCTTCTTCGACATGTAGTAAAGGCTTCAGCCAAGGCTCCGAGGGTGGGGCGGCCGGGTCCCGCTGACGGCCGCGTGCAGGGAAAAGGGGGAGAGAAGAGCCAAGCGATCCGTCCGAGGCAGGTAGGCAATACTCACCCCCGCCGCCTCCGACCAGGACCGCCGCCCTGGAAGGAGCAGCACCGCTAAGAGGAGCGCGATGCCCGTCCCCGCCAGGCTGCTGCCCATCGCCGGGAAAATGCTGACCGCCCCACCGGTGCTCACACGTGGCCGTGCCCAGCGGGGCTGATAGTGTAAGCCTCCTTTCCCGTGTCCCGCCTGGAGCGTCTCAAGCACCGGAAAGGCGAGCTTGATTCTTGGGCCCCGCGGGTGGGCGGCAGCGGCCGCTCCTTTCCCCGCCTGTCTCCGCCCCCCCCCCTCGGCCCCTGGGACAGCGTGAGAGCCAGGAGAGCCGCCGAGGAGGAGTCGGCCGGTTCCGCTGTCTCCCGCGCCCGTTCAAAGCCAGGAGCCCGTCGCCTCCGGAGGAAGGATGCGGGCTGGTCGAGCGGCAGCCTGAGGGAGCTGGAAGGTGAGTCCACTACCTGCAAAAGGCGTGAGCGCCTCAACTTCGCCGCCCTCGGCTTTGAGCCCGCCTGGGGAGTAGCTCTCTCTCGCTCCCTTCGTGGCCCCGGATGCCGGAAAGCTCCTCGGTCGCTGCTTTCGAGCGTCTCAGGGCTCCGGGTGTGTCTCCCGGCCTCGCGCTAGCCCGGAAAGCCCCCTGAGGGGTTCTTCCACCCGGCGCGTGGTTCCTGAGCGAAGCGCTGCTTTCCTTAGGAGTCGGGAGAGGCGGGGAATGTCCTCCATCGTCAACCTGGGGGGTCTGTTTAGCCTCTCCAGGAGGAAGGTGCCGCTTAACTTGACTCTGGTGAACCTTTGCAGGTTGCGCTAATCCCGCTCCTCTCTCCTCCCCCGTGAAAAATGCATGCCTCTGCCCGCCCTAATTTCTCTTTCAAGACTGTGTTCCCTTTGATTTCTAGGACCATCCTTTTTTCAACAAGGAGAAAACAAACAGACATGAAAAGTACTCCACACTTCAGCTTAGGATGCTGGACTGGGCAGTAAGTAGATCTATTTCTTTCTGCAGTAACTGCCATTTCCACTGGAAGGGAAAGTATTGTAGCATTTTTTTTAAAGTTGCTGTAAGACATTCAAAAAAGAGCCGGCCTGGTGGTGAATTATAACCATTTCAATCTTGTCTTGGTACAGGGATATGCAAATCATCCTCCTGGTGGTATGGACTGTGCTTCTTCCTGCCAGCGTACAAGCTGTAAGTATATCATCATCATTAAAAAAAAAAATCAAAACAAAACTATGAGAAACATTTTTAGGGTTGCTTCCAAATCAAGCCAATTCTGTTGCCAGAGTTCTTCAATCATCTTTGCTGTTTTTCAGTAGTGCACTTTTTACTATTTTTTTTCTACAAAAGAATTTGAACTCTCCTCCCCATTTCTCTCTGTTCAAAAATATGTCTTAAAGTATGAATACAAAGTATTTTAAGGCACAGCATTTAAAAATATAACTCACATGAATTGATTTGTTTCATATATGTTTTAAAACAATAAGGAAAATATCAGTCATGTTGGTTTTTAGACACTAATGTTTTTATTGAAGTATAAAAACTAAACAACCCATATTTGCAGAATATTACAACCAATTGAAATATCACAAGTTTTCCAATTCTCCAGGACCTCTTCTGAAGCAACTCATGAGGCAGACAAAGTCAGGCTGATAGGAACTACTTTGACTATGTGTGCATGAATGATTGACATGCTAACAAGCCAACCAAAATTTGGGCTACCGTGCTCTGTGTACCTTGCCTTTATAGCTAGTTTATGGTATAGTTTATATTTTATGGTAATCCCCAAAGCAAAAAAGTTAAATAAATAAATCATGATTAAGGTAATTATGGATTTGGATCTTTTGGAAATACAGACAACAACTGTGGAAATCTCTCCCTCTATTCACAAAGTGCCTTATCAAGGTATCTACGCGGTATCTAGTTATCAGGTGACTAGAAGTGCTGTAGAGAAAATAACCCAATGGCTTCCAAGTAGCTTCCATTTCTTTCTTTGGACCTCTTCCCTGCCCCACATGTGTGGGATAGACACAGTTTTAACAAGAAAAGATGCTGGGTGCTGATCACTTTGCACTCTTTCTGAGTGCTCCACCTCCATCAAACAGGGAAAAACAGGAGGGAGACCATTGCTGTTGCTTGTTAAGGGACAGACTGTGGATTGCATAAGACTAGCCAAGGAAAAGTTCATGAAAACGAACAAGCTGTAGAGGGGATAGAAAATGGCCTTGAAGGATAGAAACAAGAGCTGCTGCCAAGGCAATGATTAAACAAGGGGTCTCATCCCACAAAACTAGCTTCAGAAACATATCACATAAGCCTCTCCCATGATTACACAATAATAATAAATCTTTATTGGTTAGCCCTTGGGCCATATCAAAGTGCAAAGTTCCAGCAACAAATTATTACTAAAAGTTTGATAAAAGCAATTTAAAATGAAATTTGGTAAAATACAGTTTAAAATGGAATTAGAGTAAAATACGACTTAAAATGAAATTGGAATAAAATACAATCTAAAATGAAATTAAAATACAGTAATTTAAAATATAGATAAAATGTGATAAAATTATATCTTGGAGTCATCCCTGCAATCTACCCCAATCAGTCCCACATATGCAGATCTCAACCAAACCATTTTGTTTAAATATTGTGCTGCATTAAATGTTATTTTCAAGTTCTGGCTGCACATAAGGTAAGTTGTTTTGATATGGGGATCCCAGTGAGTCATTCGTTTGGTATATAGACCAAGGTACCTGTCTCTCACCCTCTTGTACAGGCAACAATCAAATAGTATGTGAGCCAGGTCTTCTACCTCTGCCGCTGCACAAATGCAGAGATGCTCATTGTAAGGTATAGAAAGGAATCTCCCATATCTGACCATTGTGTCAAGCTGTTCGAATCTCGCTCGCGTAAATATCTCCCTAAGGTGTTTTGGCATTTGTAACTTCAAATAGCTGACTACTTGAAAAGTATGTTTGTATTTACTCAGCCATTTCAAGTTACCCACCTTACTAAGGATCACTATATCATTTGGTGCTTCTATATCCTTAATTCTTTGGGCAACTCTTTTTTTGAATTGTTCTCCTATTACATAAGAGACAGGAAGACCACAGCTTCTTACAAAATTTGTTAGCTTGGTGATCCAGGAGATTTGTGATTGTAATTTTATTTGCTCTAGTAGACATAACTTGGGGGGTCTGTCTATCAGTCTCCATTTCATTGATTTTGCACCAGTAGTTGTAAGCTCTAATTTTGGATAGAGCATGAATTGTATGAATTCCCAATTCAGCTCTAACTGTTGCAGCAGATGTTCTTGGATCTACACCCAGAATATATCTCAAATGCTGGGACTGTGTTTGTTTTAAGACTGTGGTTGATTAAAGACCCCAAACTTCTGCTCCATACAAGAGAATAGTGGTAACCTTAGCTTTATATACCTTAATTAATGGGGCTAAGGACCCTGGATAACTATGGTTCTTTAGTTTAAGCAGTAGATTCAGGTGGGCTTTCACTCTAAATGTACTTTGTTGATGATGGCAAACCCAAGATCCAGTCTTGGAAAAAGTTACGTTCAAATATACAAAGATGTTAACCTGTTCAATTGGTTCACCATCTAATTGCCATTTATGTCTCTGATGGTGTCTTCCAAACACCATTATTTTTTTATTTAGTTAAATAGGTATTTATAATCCAAGGAGTTCAAAAAAGATTTTTTTTTCTAAAGTTTATAATTCTCTTTGTCTGCAGCCCAGATTGTTGTCTTTTTTTGTCACAGCTGTTCTTTATTATTAAAGCTTTAAAGGTCACAAACACATTAGCTTTTTCCAGGTTTTGGCAAGTTCTCTATAGAAATCATAGCTGTCAAAATCTTCATCCTCCACTAGGTGTCAGCATCTATTTAGTTTTCAATATGAACAATGGTCTTTACAATAAGAGTCTTAACCATTCAACAATCTTAAACTTGTCCAAAGTTAAATTTTAGCTTTCAAGTTTATAAATTTATTTCACTACCATATATTTTGATCCTCCATAGAAATTTTAATTCTCTGCTTCCGTTAGTATAAGGATGGGGCGGAAGTCCCCCTCCTTCACTTTTGGAGGTATTTTGCTTCTCAGGGATCTTTTCCAGGAAATTAAGTATAGAATAGAAAAGGTAAAATCAGATTCCTCATCCAATTTTAAGCATGTTGCTTACTGTAGCTCTGGTTAGTTCTTTTGGACTCTGGTTGCAAGTAGCTTGGGCTGATCGATGAAATACAGCCTTTCTCCTGTCGGGTTTGAAGGCTTACCCCAAGACAAATGGAATGGCCGCCATCATTCCAGAGTCACCGGGGCACCATTCTTTCTTCTCTACCTCTCCAGGGTGGCTTGGACTCATTAGGGTCTCCAGGCAGGATGAAAGTTGGCTGCGGGGGTGCGGCAGTCTGCAAGCCCGTGACCAGTCGCTACCACGCAGGACCGGAAGTCCAGTTTTAGTCATTTCTGTTGTGCTGGGTGATTACCCATGAAGCATGTTTTTTGGGGGGGTCCCCACTCCAGTTGCTAAGCTTGCTTAAACCCTCTTCCTCCTCCTTCTCATTGGAGCCTCCCTTTGTCTGCAATGGTGAGGCAGGAAGACCCCTGCCAGGCCGGGGATGATGGGGATCTGCCCTCTGCAGAGTAGGGGAAGGGTTACTATGCTCCTGTCAGTCAGGTTTGATTTCCTTTATTTGCCCCCCCTCCCTGCCTCCCCTCCCTCCCCTGCTTGTAGCTGCCTCTGAGCCCCTCATTTTTGGGAGTTATCACTGCCAGCATCTCTTTCTCCTGAACCCCTCATGCTGGGTAACTGTTGCCACCTAAGAGCTGTTTTAAAGCTAGGGAATTTTGGGGGGATAGCCAACTAGCACCCCAACACACCCCCATGCCTCCACTTCAAGTGCAGAAGCCACACACACCCTCCAAAGCCCCTGTAATCATCTATCAGCTTCTTTGAGTCAGTCAGAAGGAGAGAAGGGGATAGAACAGTGCAAAGATCAATGTCAGAGAAACAGGAACAAGTTTCCCATTAAAAGTGTGGTAAGTGGGCATACAGATAGTCTTCAACCTACAACCAGAATTGAGACCAAAATTTATGTTGCTAAGTGAGAAATTTGTTAAGTGAGTTTTGTGACTTTTCTTGTCACATTTGTTAAGTGAATCACTGCAGTTGTTAAATTAGTAACACGGTTGTTAAGTGAATCTGGCTCCCCCCATGGACTTCGCTTGTCAGGTCACACAAGGGGATCACATGACCCTGGGACACTGTGACCGTCATAAATATGAATCAGTTGCCAAGCATCTGAATGTAAATCACAAGACTATGTAGTGCTTTGTCTTCCCATGCCTCCATTCTGTTCTTCATTTGGTCTTTCTTGTAGGCCAGTTTGGTCTCTCCAGTAGTCAGTAAGCCTTCCTGACATACTAACTTCAATGCATCTTCATTATTGTTTTTCAAATATTCTCCCAAAGCCCTTTTTTCTTCTTGAACCATCTGATGTACTTGCAACATTCCATGCCCACCTATTTGCCTTGGCAAGTAGAATCTTTCATTGTCACTGTGTGGATGAAGGGCATGATTCATTGTCATTATTTTTAGGATAAGCTGATAACAGGCATAATAGACAGGATCTGAGGGTTTCCCACTCAGATCAATAGGTTAAAAGTGTCCCAAGCAAAGCCCACCCCAATAATTCATCCGGTCAGTTCAAATGGGCCAATCCCCAGGTGTTAAGTCCGTTGTGGGAAAAAGCTGATAATGCCAGACTGTCTCAGGCTTATAGCGATGATTGTTGGGTCTTCACACCTTCCCTTCTGAAAGAGGAGATAAGCCAGTTGCCCGGAGGTACATTCTTTCTCCCCCCCCCTCCTTCGAACTGACAACAAAGGGAAAGACAGTTCAAAGAGCGTGTATGCGGAGACAGCAAAAGAGTTACATTGTAGCGATAGAAAAAAACAAAGAAGCAGCATGCAGCATTTCCCCCTCCCCTCCAGGAGCATGGCAGAACCAAGAAGAAGAAAGAATTGAGTTAGAATTAGAATTAGAAAGAGCCCCCTTAGAAATGTGGGTTCTGACATCCTGCCTCCCTTAAAAAAAAGAGAGATCCATCTGTGGAGAAATAGAGACAAATACATATATAGGTTAATCTGGTTTGTTCGGATATTCGATGTGAAATTTC